TTTTTTTTTTTTTTTTAGTTGGAGTCTCACTCTGTCTCCCAGGCTGGAGTGCAGTGGCACAATCATGGCCACCACTTCCTTGAACTGCTGGGCTCAGGTGACCCTTCCACCTCAGCCTTCCAAGTAGCTGGAACTACAGGCACATGCCACCATGCCCGGCTAATTGCTAATTTTAAAAAATGTATTATAGAGACGAGGTCTTGCCAAGTGGCCCAGGCTGGTCTTGAACTCCTGGGCTCTGGCAATTCTTTCGCCTCTGCCCCCCAAAGTGCTTGCATAACAGTCATGAGCCACTGCGATGACCCTTCACAACATCTCTTTATTTATTTATTTATTTAATTTATGAGTTGAAGCCTCACTCTGTTGCCCAGACTGGAGTGCAGTGGCATGCTCATGGCTACCTTAGCCTTGACCTGGTGGGTTCAGGCCAACCGTCCACCTCAGCCTTCCAAGAGCTGAAACTACAGGCATGCACCACCATGCCCAGCTAATTTTTGATTTATTATAGAGACAAGGTCTCGCCAAGTTGCCCAAGCTAGTCTTGAACTTCTGGGCTCAGGCAATCCTCTCGCCTCTGCCTCCCAAAGTGCTGGTATTACAGGGGTGAGCCACCGCACCCAGTCCTTCACAACTTTATACAGTCCTGTCTCAAGCATCTCAAAATGTGAAAAGGAAGTGGGGAAATATTTCACAGCATTGCATGAGGATTTGATGGTCAGCACTTAAGTGGTCATGGCTTTCATACATTTGAATTTCTGAGGCCTTTACTATATTCAAAGCCAGGACTATGGAACACAAGAATAAGGAACCTACAACCTCTTAATACCATCCATGTCACACATCCAATCTGTCCACAAAAGCCACAAACCAAAGGTAGTGGGAGCTCAAATGAGAGCAATATTTACCAGGTTGTCGAATCAAGGAATACTTTCCAGAGGGAGGATTTCAGATGGATGAGGAAATGGGAGTTTTTTGAAAGAGTATCAGGCCGGGCTCGATGGCTCAGCCTCAAATCCCAGCACTTTGGGAGGCCAAGGTGAGTGGATTGCCAGAACTCAAAAAAAAAAAAAGAGTATTAACTTCTCATCAGTGCCTCCTCAGGTTTTCAGATAACCCTGCATGCTTATGTCAAAGACTTTGCTGCCAGTACAGGTTCCAAGGGACCAGAAAATCTTGTTTTCTGTCCCCACAAACTGTAATTTTTGAAGGCAGGCACTTTTGTACGCTGTTCTCCCTAGGCCCAGGCCTCTGTAGCATACATTTCCCAGCTAAAGTGAATGTCAATTAGCATTCTTACCCAGCTGATTGCCCACAGTTAAACGTGCCTTACAGTCTAGACCTCTGGTGATGACTAACTTTAAAAATTAAAACTATCAAATAAGAAGCCAGATGCAACACATGGACCTTGGTCTGAATCTGGATGCCACAAACTAATTGTGAAAGGACACGAGACAACTGGGGAAATCTAAATATGAATTGCGAGTTCTGGCAACTTGGCTCACACCTATACACCCAGCATTTTGGGAGACCAAGGCGAGAGGACTGCCTGAGCCCACAGGTTCAAGACCAGCCTGGACAACTTGACAAGACCTCATCTCTATAATAAATCAAAAAATTAGCCGGGCATGGTGGAGTATGCATGTAGTTCCAGTTTCTGGGAAGGCTGAGGGGAAAGGATCAACGGAGCCTAGGTCAATGCTGCGGTGGCCGTGAGCGTGCCACTGCGCTCCAGCCTGGGCAACAGAGTGAGACTCCGACTCAAAAAATAAAATAATATGAACTGCAAATCAGAAGAAGGCACCGTTAAACATGATGTGATTATGCCTTGAAAAGTCGTCTGTTGGGTATGTGCTGGGGTACTGATGAGTGAAATGGTCAGGAGTATGAGGGGAAACATGGTGAAACAAAATTGGTACACGTAGCCAGCAGCACCCAGAAGTGTACCGTGACACTCGTGGGGGAGGCCCGAGAACTCCCATAATAGAAACACACACCCTGTGCAGGCTTTTTTTGACTTGGAGTCTCACTGTCGCCCAGGCTGGAGTGCAGTGGCATGCTCACGGACACCGCAGCCTCGACCTGCTGGGCTCAGGCGGTCCATCCACCTCAGCCTTCCAAGTAGCTGGAACTACAGGCGCGCGCCACCACGTCCGGTTAATTTTTTAAAATCTATTGTAGAGACGAGGTCTCGCCATGTTACCCAGGTTGGTCTCGAACCCGTGGGCACAGCCAATACTCTCGCCTCCGCCTCCTAAAGTAGTGTGATTACAGGCATAAGACACCGCGCCAGGGTCCAGTGCAGTTTTTACCGCAAGCCCCGAGGGAGCCACACCCAGAGGGTCACCGTGCTCGGCTTGCGACGAGCTCCGCGAGCCGGGAAAGCCTCCTGCGGATCGCCGATCCATTTCCTTTCCCGCCCTCTCGAAATAGAATGCTGGCCGCCGTCGCCTCCTAACTCCCTCGAGGGCCTTCGCGGTAATG